AGTATTCATTTATTACACAGGGAGGGGAGAAAGCAGGTTTACAGTTATTTGTGTGGAAACTAATACAATAATTAATAAATAATAACAATACAGGAATTAACTCTGCGCTTCAAGTGCTCACAACTGTAAACCTTCTTTGGCCCCACCCACTCCAGCCTCTGGAAGATAAAACCTTAGTGTGTAGAAATCTTCATGTCTGTTTAAAAAGAGGAGATAACCTGTGTGTGTGGTTTTTTTGTTTGTTTTTGTTGCTTACCCAATACTTCTTGACCAATGCCTTAGGGATTACTGTGTACAATTCTGATATTATCTGAGTGGTTATGCTCTTTAGGATGCTGTGTTGTGTGTCTTGGGTTTGCCCAGAGTTGAGCCTTCCCACAAATCTGGGAAGGAGAAGATCTGGGGACAGAACAGGGATTGTCAATAGACAAATTAGGACCAAATTCTGCTTCTACCTTCACACATAGATGCTGACTCTTTTGAAGGAATTACAATAAAGTCACAGTGGGTTGACTCACGTGCAGTTCCACTGCACCTGAGCTGATAACTGGGGAGGAGAGGGGTTCACCCCATCCCCGTCCTCTTGTGCTTGTTGACCTTTATAAAGTTAGCTTTCTGTAGAGTGCCTGTGAGTCATAATTGTGACTGTAGGAAGCCAGGGAAAGAGAAGAAAAGGAGAGAATCCTGTTAGTTTATCAGTTTATGAGAAATGGTGCCTCACTTTTTATTTAAAAAGAAAGGCTGAAATTCATTCATTCATTGCTGTACCATATCGGTCACCAGGAGTATAACTCTGCTCCCTGAGCTATGTACATGTGGAGGCCAGGCGGGCGCCTCACTTGAACCATTCTGCACACGGAAAGCTTGTCTGTGCCCCCCCCCAACTGACTGTAATCTATTCAGTGATCATTTGTTGAGTGCCTTCTACTTCATACCAGCCAGGTATGAAGTACCTGCCTTCGTACAGTAAACCTCAAGAAATATTGGTTTACTGTATTGAAGTAAGGTGCTGCAACCAGCCCTGGGGTGAGGGGAGATGTAGACATGAACAAGGTAGAGTCTTGTTTCCTTGAGGCTCATGATCCCAGGACAGACACAGAGACAACTAACTATAAGTCAAGCCGACTGCACTATCAGTTAGCTATAAAGGTGGGAGGAAGTTCTATGGAAGCACAAAGGGCAAAAAGAGGAGTGAGGGAAAGTGAGTGGGCAGGTGACGTCCCAGAAGAAAGGAGTGCCAGGCAGTGGGACAAACACGAGCAGAGCTGAGAGGACAGACACCAGTTGTATTCGAGGAGCTTGGAGTAACGCCTGGTGGCAAGAGTGGAGGGTAGGCAGAAGGAGCAGAGGGGCGGGTGGAAGATGGGGCTGCAGCTAGTCATCCTGGAAGACCCCTGGACTCATTCAAGGGTTTTGAGCAGGGAGTAAGGCATCAGACTGGTGTTTTAGGAAAAGGAGTTAAAGAGAATGACAAGTTAGAGAAGTGCTGTCGGGAGGCTGTGGCAGCGGTGCTTTGGATAAATGACAGGGCTTGATCGAGGACAGTGGAAATGAAATGAAGGTTACTCAAGAATGATTTGTACTCAAAAGCCAGTCTGTGAATTTATAATGGCCATGAGCCTACCCAACCACCAGGATGATTAGGTCAGCTGGCCAGAGCACAGCTTCTTAAACTGCAGTACATTAATAACCAAAGGATTACTCGGTGAAAATGGAATTAAGGCCAAAAGAGTTGGATGGTCTGAAGATCTTTTACTCAATCTATAGCAGTGTTTGCATAGCAATGATAATAAAGCTTAGTCTCTGGCGAGTTGTTACTCTTCTCTGGAGAGATACTTGGCCTGCCACAGCGGGAGGAGCTGCGCCCCGGCCAGTGCTGGAAGGAGCTAGCTGGCGGCAAATTGGTGTATTCGAGGATCTTTTGGTTGCAAGAAACAGAACTCACTCAGAGATGAGCAAGTAAAATGGGGAATAAATTATAAGGAATGGGAATCTTCCCACCCCAACACTAGAAAGGCCGCCAGGTCTCTTGGGGCTGACAGCATCAGCAGCGCCTGCCAGGGGCCACTGGTGCCCGGTGGTGTTGGGCCAGGGAGGGCCATGTGGTCAGGCAGATGCACCCAGGGCTGAGGGTAATTCCCAGGGTGCAGTATGGGGTGCTCACCAAGGTGCCTCCCGCCTGAGCGTACTCAGTTGCAGGTCCGACTGCAGGCACCGGCCAGGGGTGCACCTCCAGTACCCAATGGAAGGAGATAATGGGGCACCATTACGGAAAAGTGCCAGATGCCTAGTTGTCCTCTGGCGATGAGGCTGAGGGGGCCAACGGTCTGAGGTCAGCCTTGGTCCTGAACTTCCTGCCACCACCCCTAACCCCTTCTGGTTTAACAGTCTTAGCGCTGGTAGAGGCTGCAAGAGAGGTCCCACGCTAGGGAGGCAAGGACCCATTTTCTGGCCAGTGTCTGCCTCTAGCTCATAGGGTGCCTCCAACGGTGACCTCCTTTTCCTCTCTGGGCCTCAGCTTACCTCCCTCTAAAATGATGGGTGAAATTAAGGACTCCCCAGCCTCCTCTGTCCATCCTCCTCATCCATGGGTTCATGTGCTTGGGTCCATGCAGACAGGACACCCTAGAATGTCCAGAATTCATAGTCAGGAGCCCCCAGATTCCTAAAACGCCCTGCCAGTCGTCGCCAGTAGGAGGACCTGGGCCTTTTCCAGGGCCTGTGAAAATGTGTAGGACCAGAGAAATTCACAAAAGGAAACTTGCAGAATAAAAATGAATGAATGTTTAATTAAATGCTTTTATACTTAATATGCCAACTTTATGAAATGTTAGATTTGGTCTTTGTAAAAAACATCATTAATCTGAAAATAATTTCTAAATTGGATTTTTCTCATTTTGTGTGGGAGGACTATGGGGAGTCAGCCAGTGGTGACGCAGGTGAGTTGGAGGGCCAGAGAATTTAAAAAGCAAAGTTGCTTTTTCAGGAAAAAATATAGTCTTGATCCAAGACACAGGTGCATTTTACCATTTAATATGCCTCCTAAGAGGGCCTAAGTATGCGCATTCTTACAGCAGCATGAACTGATCAGGACATTGTCCCTGTTGTTCCCTGAGCAGGATGCAGGTCACCCACAGGGCCTGGATTACAGAATCCTAAAACTTTTCTGGACTCCTAAAGTCCCTAGACCCAGGGTTCCATCCCCATGTCTCTCCTCTGCATCCTGCTCCCTGTCCTCTGATAAATCCAATTCCATTGTCCAGTCTCATCTCATAACCCCCATGTATGGCATGGCAGCCATCTCAAAAAAAAAAAAAAAAAAATCGGGTATTTTGCTTTCCACTCTTCGCTCCCTCTACACCCATTGAGAGTCTCTTCTTCTCCCTGACACACTGGCCTTTCTGTTCCCATCCACTTTCAGGGTCCCATCGTAAGCGCCCCAGAATGATGGCCTTGGCCCCAAGTCTTTCCAGCCTTCTAGCCTGCCCCCTGCAGCTGACCCAGTTTCCCAAGTACTAATACCAGGAGGGAGAATCTGATTGGTCTAAGTTGAGTCAGGGGCTTTTCCTTAACCTAGTCAGGCTGAAGATGTGATATGACAGATTCTTTGAAAAAACAAAATGGTAGTAAACAATAGATAATTCTAATATATTGTTATTACTGTTCGACTCTTCTAGACTTCATGAATAACGTAGTGGGTTAGTTGTCTATTGCTGTATAACAAAGTCCCCTAGAATTTAGCAGCTTAAAACAGCAAGGATTTATTATATCAGTTCTGTGGGTCAGGAGCCCAGGAACAGCTTAGCTGGGTGTTTCTGCCCCAGGGTCTCTCTTGAGGTTGTAGACAAGCTGTGCGGTGGGGTTGCAGCCATCTCAAGGGTGGCCTGGGGGATAATCTGGATCCGGGACAGGCAGAAGGCCTTGGTCTTGGTGTGTTCCTCCTTGGGTCCAACTTCTTTGCACCGACTACTGGCTGGAGACCTGTTTTTCAACATGTGGGTCTCTCCAGAGAGGGGATGTCCTTATGACAAGGCAGCTGCCATGCCTGCCCCCAGAGTGAGTGTTTGAGAGGAAGCACTAAGAAAGAAGCTGAAGTGTTTTATACGCTAACCTCAGAAGTGCCGATCACTTCTGCCCGCTTTCTCTGGTCACACAGACCAACCCTGGTACAATGTGGGAGGGCGTATACGACAGTCGCAATACTGAGAGGTGTACCAAGCAAGAGGTGAGGCTCCTTGGGAGTCACCTTGAAAACTGGTTACCACACTCAGTCAACAAACATTTATTTAGTGCCGACTGTGTGCCCAGTACCGGGAATTGAGAGCTCTGTGACACGGGTTCCTGCTGGGGAGCACCCCCCCACAACACAGTGTGGGGAAGCCTTACAAAAACACAATGTTGTTTTGTTCCCTGAGCTGTCACCTCTGTCCACTCATCTTTCACACTGTCACGACACTGATCCTCTTGGAATTCTAATCTGTTCATAGCTATCTCCTATGTAACGGCTCTTTGCCTAGATGTTTTTAAAAAATTTTTAATCACCCCCCACAGTGAGAAATACATTTCATATCACCAACCAGTACATGCACGCATAGACACATTTATAACAGAAACAAATTTCACAAACTTACGCTGTCACTACTTGCCATGTAGCCTGATAGTTTCTATTCTAGGCTATTTCACTTTTTTTGAAAGCTGGTCACAGTCTCATGAATTTCACAACCTATTGCATTGTGACCTGCGGTGTGGAAAGCAGCCTAAAGAATCATCCATGCTCCCTGCCATGAGCTGCAAGCCCCATCTACCTGCCTGCAGCTCCCCCTCATTTATATTTGACCATCTCCCATTACCCTCTCCCCCCTGTAAGGTTCCTCTACCTAGAGCTCTGCCCCCGTTTGGAGAACTCTTACTCATCCTTTAAAACCCAGCTGTAAAGTGTTTCCTCTTTCCCTCTCTCCTTGGCCAGAAATGTCTGCTGCCTCCCGTGGCCCCCAGAGCACTGCAGTGACACTTGACTGACTGGCAGCTTTCCACTTCCAGCCGGCTCCTAGGGCCAGCCCTCCCAAGCCTACAATATATTTTCATCGAACCACTCCAAGTACGTTTCCGCGGACATTGAGCAAATTAGCATCACACAAATGACGATGCTGCAAATGAGCGGTGTGCAGAGTTGGGGGGGTGTTGCAGGCAGGTTTCCTGTTAAGGGAGCCACGTGCTGCAGAAAAAGGCTCCCTCCCCCTGCGGGCCGCTGTTTCGCCCGCGCATCCATCACAGGTACAATTCGCACCGGAACTTGCCTCCCGGGTTCATTACCGCGGTTCATTTTAGCTGCTCTGGTTTCTTTTTGGTTTTTCTACTTTTTTCATTTGTTTGTGTTGATGGGGACAACCTAGTGAGAAATGGAGCTTTAGGCAGTGCAGATAGAAAGGCCTCTGTATCTGCACCCGCCCTGCGGGAGGGGGTTTCCTTTCTGAAGTGGTACGGAAGGAGGGTTTTGAGGTTTTTGAATATTTGCTTCTAAGTATCTTACATAAGTAAGAGATTTGTTTGCCCACATTTGCAGTCTTTGGCAAGCTAGCAATCCGACAAAATATTTTCTGGTTGGTTTTGCCTGTATGTGGTTTTTATTTTTGAGGGGAAAAAGAATCCTTGGTTAAATTGTACTGAAATACAATGGCTGTTATTAAAATTTGCTATTAACTTAAGGGTTGAAGCTAGTGTGAGTCCCAGGCCTAGCTGCCTCTTGGACTCGAGTCACTCACTGATAGATTATTCTGTGAACCATAACCGGAAAAGAAAAAAAATTGACACGAGCAAAAGCTCTTAAATTATTCCTTCACCAATATTCTCATTTCTGCATTTGTCATGGCTGCATAAGTGCCCCAGGATATGCTGACTTGGTTGTGGTGTGTGCATATCTGGGAGGGAGGTGAAAACAGACTGTAAACAGATAATTACTGTAGAGTGTGATAAATAGTATAATAGCGGTATGTATCACATGGTATTAGAGGGAGTCATTTATTCACTTCAAGCAGTATTTTTCAAATGAGGTTCACCCTCATTAGTGATTCATAAAATGCATTTACAAGGTAGCTAATAGCATTTTTTTAAGTGAGATAAAATAGAATGAAATATATCAAGTTGCATCCTCCAAAATGTTTATTTTTTAAATTTTATTTATTTATTTTTAGATAGGGGGGAAGTGAAGGAGAAAGAGAGGGTGAGAGACATCCATGTGAGAGAGAAACCTCACATCAGTCACGTCGATTGATGGGTAAGCACCCAGACTAGGGACCAAACCTGCAACTCAGGCATGTGCCTTGGCTGGGAATCTGACAGGCAACCTTGTTTTTCAGGACGTTGACCAACCAATTAATCCACACTAGTCAGGGCCTCCATAGTAAGTTTAGATAGTGTTTTTCTAAGCCATTGTTTCAGTTATATATTTATTGCATTGCAATGTGAAATACATTTCTTGGTAGTGAGTCTTAGGCAAAGATGCTTGAAAGCCACTGCTGCAGGGGATGAAAGAAAGCTTCCCAGAAGCTTTTTGAGCTGGGTCTTGGAGAATGTTGGACCTGCCCCAGAGGAAGGGCATTCCAGGCAGAGGGCAAAGGATATGCCCAAATGTAGACTAGGTTGTTTAGGGTCAGGATGTTCTCTGTGATTGGACCACAGGGTACGGCGGGGGGGGGGGGGGGGGGGGAGACAGGGCGGTGTGGGGGGGGGAGGCAGTAGGAGGGGCTGGAGATGCCCCTGGGGAGGCAGGTGGAGCTAATTAATGAAATTTACAAGCAGTATGTCTCAGCTCTTCTCAGAAATTCCATTTCTCTGGTGATAGGTTTGGTCTTGGAAGAAAATTGGTTGACTGGAACTAAAATTGGCAGACCAGCAAGCGATAAGGACCTGAATTTAGGTGTAGGTGGTTGGTGGAAAAGAGGGACTTGGATTTGAGGGGGTTTTGGAGGTGGGTTGCGTGGTTTAAGGCAGATGAGAGAATGAGAAGGAAGCATAGACAATCCTAAAGTAGCTAGGTAGGGGGTTGGTCTATGAACATAGAGACTAGAGAGAAGATCAAATTCTAGAAGGGAAATGATTATTTGACTTTTGGTTTGTGCTCATGGTAGGTAGGGCAGGAATAACTCATCAAGTGTCCACCAAGCCCCACATGAACTACACCTCAGGAGTGTACATTTCCTTTGCTCTGATTGCCCATCTTTAAACAACCTCCTCCCAATTGTCTTAGACCTGACTCAGATTAATCTAACTCACAAGGGACTGATAAATACACCCAACTGCTAGTTGATCAGTATGATTTACAGTGAGGCAGATGTTATAAACCTTTTTGGGTACAAGAGTACTTTTAAAAGGTTTTTAGTACTTGTACCTTGCCTCACCTTTTACAGTATCAGAGTACCTGGAAAATGGAACTAGTAATTCAGACATTTAGGAAAAAGAGAATGGTGTGGTCTGCAGAGTATTTCATGTGGACTCTTAAAATACCTGACTAACTCTCCTGAACTCAAATTAAGAATGTGGCTCTTTAGTGCTTTTAGTGATCAAAATGCTTATGGAGGTTATACTTCCTCCCCCCCCCCTCCCCAAGTCATCTCTGAGGGCTGGTTCCTTTTTCAGAGGTTCCACGTCTTGGTCATTTCATTTCCAGAAAAGACACTGACATTTATTGAGCAAGCCCCTTCACTTGGGTACTCTCTCTTAGAGGTTGACTTTCTCACCACATTCTGAGGGTGCTTTATAGGTGTACCCTTCAGCCTATGCAACCTCTCTTCTGCTGCCTCTACAATCCACCATCCTCCTGCGCATGGAGTGGAAGGAAGGCTCTGTTCTGGGGCCCGGGAGCTGCTGAGTGACACCTCCCAGCTATGCCTTCCAACAGCATGTGGTGCCCTCCTAACCTGATGACTGTCCTCCCCCTCACATCCTCTGGGGGAAAACAGGCTAGATGTGTAAGACAGCAAGGCCAGTGGGAGTGCTGAATGCTTCTTTCCAAAAAACTGTTCTGCTTGTACTCCTTTTCCGTGTACTAGAAGCTTGTTAGGAGTTAGGTTTTTACTTTAAAGCCCGTCAAGGAAAATAACCAGCTTGAAATATGTCATGATTAGAGAGCCTTAGTCTCTACAAAGATGATTTGAAATGTTTATCCATGTATCAACTACAATAATAACATAGACATAGTATTGAAAACATTTGTGATCACTCCAAATAAATTTCTTGTTTAGTATTGCTTTGAAAACAATTCCATGTTACTTCTAAGAATAGTATTAATCACAACAATAATGGCAACTGTTATTGATATTTATTCTATATCAGACACTAAAGCCAGGGATTTATATACCTAGTATCATTTAACTGTCCCCCTATCAACTGGACATATAGGTATTGTTACTTTTATTTTACAGATGATGAAACTGAGGTAAGTGAAGTAAAAAAAGGCCGAGAGCACATTGTTAAAAAGTGGCAATGATAAAGCTCTAACTGATGGAGGGCGAGGGGAGAACTAAACTATAAGGCTATACTGCCTGTGATCAATTGAGTAATGGCTTAATATGGTTCAGGGAGACTTACTGTACCTCCTTAATATGAGAAAATGATACATAATTAATAAATAATACATGAATAAACTCTGTTTGATGTACTCACAATGGTAAACCTACTTTTGCCCACCCTGGCATATAGGCAGAGGCACTCATTTCTTATATTCTTGTATATCTTGTCATGGGACTGTTTCTCTTTCATCACACACGTATTAGTTGTAAGCTAACTATATATAAAGTACTCTGCTAGGCCCTTAGAGAATGGAAAGCCTTTGAGGAGCTTCCTATCCAGGAAGGACGTAAGAGAGATGTAGGAGGTTGAATCACATGAGATTGCTACCAGGAATTTACATGGGAAGATTTTACATGGTTCAACCTGACACACAACTAAAATAAGGTGCCATGATAACATTTTACATGCACTAGTTCCTGAATCCTTAAAATAACTTTCAAACATGGGTACTATAATTACCCCCATTTTATAGATGAGGAAGTTGAAGCACTGAAGGGTGAAGTGACTTGCCCATAACCACACACCTGGTGTGTGACAAAGGTGGAATTTGAACCCAGGTCAATCTGAGTACAGAGCCAGTGCACTATAGCCCGTATGTACCTAAGTTCCTCTAGGGGAACGAATAAAGGTATGCACTTTATTTATGCACATTGAGATTTCTTACATTTTTATTTCACAACCACTATGTAGAACACTTACTAACTCATCTGGTATATTTTGGGATTTCTGTGATTGGTACACATTTGGTCTAGCATTTGCATTCACTCTGAGAATGGCCAACCAAAAAGGGAAACATTTGGAGGGGAGAATACAAAAAAAACAAAAGCATTTTCACTGTTAATTGTTATGTGGACACTGGGCCTGTTTATTTGGAGGCTCAAACTCAAGCGAGAATATTTCAACTATAATTACATCTTCCTTTTTTTTCCTGTGTCCAGTTGTCTTTCTCTCTAGGTCACCTACACAGATAAGAACCAACCGGTGACCATTTAATTGTACATAATTAAATTATAGACAATACAGTTAAAGTTACTTGCATATAGTAAGCCATTTTAAGAATTTTCCTCTTAAAAGGTTTTCTCATCTTAACATTTAGATACCAAAATCCTGTCTATATCAACCATAATTTAAATTTTACATAGACAAGCCTATTCCTTATTTAAAATGTTAAGTTTTTAATCACATGGGAAAAATTAAGAAGTTGCTTTTTGTTTTGTTATATTAAATGATTTCAATTTTGGGGGTGCCTGGTAATCTGAAATTCTCCCCACTGCTGTCCCTATATTTTGCAAACCCCCCCCCAAAGTTTAAAATTAGATTCGACAACTGGCATTCTCAAAGTAGGTATTCACGAAGTACAGGGCTGCCCCTCTGCCATGCCGCAGCACTGAACCCTGTTTATATTAAAGCAGCAAGGACTGCTTGTTTCCAAGGTCCTTTTCAGAGGTTGAAGAGAGGGTGTTTTAGAATCATCCTGACCTGGGTTTCCCCCACCAGCCCTTACTAGACTGATGACTGCGGGCAAACGACTAAAGCCATTAGGAGACTCCTCTGCAAAATCAGAATAACTAAGCCTATTCTAAAGGATTTCATGAAGGCTCAGCTAATAATATATGTAAGTATATAGGAGGCACTTAGTAGGCTGTCAGTAAATGTCAGGGCTCTTATATTGGACATTCTTTTAAAAGCCTGGAGTATCCACACTCTATGGGTATATGAATTCATTTTTATTTGGTGATCTTTCAAAGTCAGATTTGTGTTTCTTTGGGGTTTTGGCCGACTTGGGAGAATAGCTTTCTGAAACCCATAAATATTTCATTGGAGCTGTGGAGCAACAGCTGTAGAACTTGCTTGGTGGGTCCTAATTGCAATGAATAATCCATGGACTCTTTTTGAAATGTAATTCTTCAAAATGGTTATTATAATTAAATTCCAACCAATCCAAAGGCACTTTAAAACATGTTTAAAATTTTCCCAAGCCAATTAGAAAACTGGTTGGTCCAACTGTCAGGTGTAGAGAAATATGCTAATTTATGCAAAGACTACTGTTCCAGGAAGGCCTTGGCTGGCTGTGAAACACATGTGAGAAAACACCTCGATGATACTGTGTGATACAAAATCACTGAATGTATTTTTAAGGAATGTTTAAATACAACACATACATTGTGAAGGACAGAGTGGCAGTTACTAGAACAAGATATGGTGTTTTGTTGTTTTTTTAAAGATCTGTCTTGAATATGACAACATTGTATGCCAAGCTTGACATTTATTTTGTGCAATATGGTATAGCTATAGTGTCCTTACATACGCAAGCAAGGTGCACTTACCATTATCTTTTCTGATGCTAAGGGGGATACAGAAACTAAACAATAATTTCATGTAAATAAATCTAGGGGTAGTTTTATTTAGAAGTCACTCAATATCTGAGGAACATAGTTTTCAGCATTCTGTTTATTGCAGGACTCCGTTGCTGTATGCATTACAAAATAATTTAAAATAATTTTGGAACATTTCAGGGGCTCACGTACGTATTTTTAAAAACCTGAATCACACCTTATACAATTCATCCTTTATCTATCCTTGATGTTTATTTAAACTAAAAGACAACAACAAAACCCCCACTATATTTTTGTGGGCATTTACAGGAAAAATAAATGTAGTTAATCCAGACCACAAAGGCACCCCCTCACAATCCACACTATCATAATTAACATTTACTTAAACACTCTCAATGTGCTAGATGGTTTATGGAGACTCTCAACAATGAGATTCGAGATTTAAAATGGGTGGTAATTACACTTAAAAGGTTGGGTAGCTCCTTTTTTAAGATGGGGGATTATGTAACATAAGTTACACAAATGTGGTGATAAAGGATATCTACACATAAAGAGAAGGCAATAGGATTGGATGTTTTGAGTGTGACATTTCCTCACCTTCATCTTGGCGGATAAAGTTGTTTTGTCTTGTCTGTTTAATGGTGATATACAGGTTTCACAGATAAGGTTTTTTACAGCTTTTTGGAATGGAAAGAGTGGTGCAAATGAAAGTTTAGTACATTTAAAAGTTAGAAAGAATCAGTTATTTGCCAAATAACTAAGTTAAAAGTGACCTTTTAGTTTTTCTTAAAAGCACATGCGGAAAAAGTATTTACTGGGGCTTGTTCTAATAAGAGTTCTAAACAAATATTGTTATTTAACACCCCCCCCCTTCAAGCTGGAACTGGAGAGTGTGTGTGTGTGTGTGTGTGTGTGTGTGTGCGCGCGTGTGTGTGTGTGTGTGTGAAGGGCGCCTGCGGAGAATAGCACGTATCTTGTAGATTTTCATTATTTTAAAGAGTCAAATAAACCTGTTTCTTTGAGTAAACCAGTACATTTCTGAAGTTAAAAAAATCCCAATGGAAACAGGAAATAACATCTTTGGAGCTTGATTTTTAAAAAATTTTTAATTAAAAAAATTTTAATCTTAACATCTTTTGCTAGGCGAGAACCGGAGTGTGGAGGTAGACGAGCAGACGAGCGGTTTGCCCGGGCGCAGAGCATGAAGGCCGGGCGGGCGCGGGGAGCGGGCGCCCGCCGCCCGGCGCGGGGGTGAGCGAGAGAGAGAGAGCGGAGCGCGTGTGGCCGGCGCCGCTCGGCCGGGAGCTCCCGCGCCCGCGCCCCGCGCCCCGCGCCCGCCGCCGCCGCCGCCGCCGCCCCTGGTGCGATGGCGCAGAAACCCCGTTGACAAGGCACTGCTTTTTCATGACGGTGAGTTTCCCTTTGAGTGTATTATAATTTTGTGATAAAAATTTCAAGGAGAAAAAAAAAAACACACAACCTCCTTCCTCTGCCTCTTTCCTTCGGGGAGGGGACAAGCGAGGGAGGGGGGACTGGAGGAGATCTATCTCCAGACAGACAGAAAAGAAAGAGGAGCAAATTAAACACCGAGTTGCCAAAACCAGGATATTAGGTTTCAGCCCAGAGAGCTATTGGCTAAGGCTGTGTTTTTTTTTTTTGGGGGGGGGGTGGGTTTGTGGGTGGGTGATGGTGGTGGTGGGTGGATGTTTAATGGACACGGAGAAAAGGGGAATCGAGTGTTTATGCCTTTCCCAGCGCCGCCCGGGCCCCGGGAAGACCAAGTTCAGAGTCTCGGGCGGGGGCGCGGGCGGGCAGGGGATGGCGGGGCCGGGCCGGGGGCGCCGCGGCGGCGTGGGGGCCCCAGTGCCTGCCTTTTTTTTTTTTTTTTTTTTTTCCTTTTCCGCGGATGCAAATTTCTGGAGCGGGGAGAGGGAGAGCCTGGGAAGGGGGGTGGCGTGGCGGTTGGTGGTGGGGTAGGGAGGGGAGGGAAGCCTTTTAATGACTCATTGATTGAGCCGGTTTAAAATTAGTTGTGTGCGCGAGTGTGAGTGTGTTTTCCGCCCCCCGGAGCCGCCAGGAGCAGGGAAGGAGGGAGCTGGGCTCGGCAATGGGAGGACGGCGCGGCGGGGCCGCGAGCAGGGGGCAGGGAGGGCCAAGAGTGACGGCGGACGAGGAAGAAAAATCAGCTTTTCCAATCTCCTCCCCTCTGTTTTTACCCCCCCCCCCCCTCGTTTCTTTTCTCCCTCGGAAGCTCTTGGGTGTGAATCGCATTTTCTTTCTTCTCGGCAAAATGGACCCCGCGTCTCGGGGGTGGGGGGAGGGGAGAGGGTGGGAAAGGAGGCGGTGGCGGGGTCTAGGTTTATTTTTCATCCCGGTTTCCTCCTTGCCGCTTTTATGGGCGGCCGCGGCGAGGAAAGCGAAGGCCGGGCCGCTGCAGAGAGAGCTCGGGGCCAGCCGCCCGCCCCGGCCAGCCCCCCGGTCCGCTTCTTGGCGCGCGCCTGCCAGCGGGACTGCCCCTTCCTCGCCGCCTGACCCCGGAGCATCGCCGAGGACCCGCAGCCCGGCCCGGACGAGCCCTCGCGGCGCGCGGAAGACCCGCGGCCCAGCCAGGCGCCTACTGCGGGGCCCCCGCGGCCGGGTTGAAGAGGAGGGAGACTCTCCTGGCACTATTTTGGCCGACAGTGCGCGGGCCCTATGCGGCCCGCGCCCCCCAGTCGCCCCGAATGCGGGATTTTGAAGAGGGCGGGTGGCGGCGGCGGTTGGAAGGTGCTAAGATGGCGCTGAGCCTGGCCGATCGCCAGAGCTGGTGGCGCAGTTGCTCCGCGGGCGCCATCTTTCCTGGCGGTGCAGGCAGCGCCCTTCGTGGGCGCTTCGCTTGCCCGGGCGCGGTGAGGCGCGGGGAAAGCGGGAGCCACGCTCCGGGTGCTGAAAGCGGCCAGTGGGGTCGGGGCCACCCTGCCCAGCCGGGGGCTTGCGTACCCGTTTCCTTACCCAGGCCCTCAGGCCCAGAAGACGAGGTCGCTGGCTTAGAGGGGGAAGGGGCTGGGGCTGGCGGCATCCGGCTCCTTACCACCTGTGTTTGAAGGAAGGCGTGGGCTGCGGGTTCGGGCTGGCCGCTGGTGGATTCCCTCCCTGACCCCGCATCCCCGCGGCCAGCACTGAGGTTAGGGGTTCCCGTCATCTCTCCTGCTGCCTGAAACTGGACGGCTTTGTCTCCCCTGACCTGGCTGCGGGCAGGGCATTGAGGCTTTTCTTTCACCCTCTTCCCATTAATTTTGAGAGTAGAGTGAAACCAGGTTACAAATTGCAAAAAGAGCCCAGGACAATGACTGTCTTCCACTAACATGGTTCTCTGTAGCTACCCTACGTTAGTTTTATTTTTTTAGTTGGTTGTATTTTAAAATAACCCCGGAGAGGTTTATCTAGTTGTCAGATTGTGGGAAGGTAATGGGTTCCAGTGATGTGAAACTTCTTGGCGGCCTTCATATTATTCCCAACGGTAGTAAATCAAAAGTGTCTTAGAACTGTGATCTGAAAAATTGAACTTGCTTTGACTCACTCTGAGACTTTTCGCCCAGTGTTTGGGGTAGTCTCTCTCACCAACCTAAGGCTTTTCGGCTCCCTGACTCACTAGTGTTTCCTTAAAAGCATCCATGTAAGTATCAGTCCTGTAGTAGCTCCATATGAAGAGAGGTGTAGCTTTTAACTGTTACTGAAAAGATTATTGGGAGGAGGAGAAAGTCTATAAACCTTTGATCTCTTTAGGAGTCCACAGAGATGGGAAGTAAATAGTTAATTTCTAGTGGCTAAAAGTAACACAGTAGCACCAGTAAGTGTATCCTCGTGTTTTGTAAAAAAACAAACGCTATACAGTATGCAAAGAACTGTGTGTGGTGCTTGCTTTAGTTCCTATTTATTATATCATCCCTGCAATATTGATTTTATTTATTTTTTATTTTTTTAAAAGATTTTTAGAGAGACGAGAAGGGTGGGAGGAAGGGAAACATCCATGTGCGAGAGAGACACCTATTGGTTGCCTCTCCCATGCCCCCAACAGGCCGGCCGCCTCCCAGGCAGGTGCTGCCTCCGGAGCCCAAGCAGAGGCCCTTGGGTTCGCAGGCCCACGCTCAGTCCACTGAACCGCACCAGCCATGGCTGCAGTATTTATTTTAGTATCTCTTTACCAGAGAGGAACTAATGTTAACCTAGATATTCAAGGTCTTGCGGATTTAAGGGGTAGAATTGACATTAGATCCCAAAAGCCACGTTCTTGGCTCTGACCCGGTGGTTTCCAAATTGGAGCATTAGAGTCCACTGGGGAGAAGTTTTTAGAGATTTGCAACATCACCTCTTCATTGTTTATTAGGGCTAGTGTTGGGTGTTTTTTTTTTCAAAAGCTCTAATATATTAGGCAGTTTCAGTTTTATGCTGACCTTTCAACTTCTTGATGTTCCTGAATCCCTCCAATTTTGAAATTCTGGCCCATCCAGGACCTCCCTGTATCGGAATATGTACCAGTGGTCAGAGTTGTGCTGAAGCTCTTCAGATGGTCCCTGCGTGCCGCAGATACGCATTCAAAACATCACTATACTGTGCTGCTGGCCCTTCTAGAATGGGAACATGAGACTTGGTCCATATCAGTCTGCATTTCAACAGTTTATTCCTTGCACCATTCTTATTTTTATTTTTCTCCTGTAACTGCCTCTTACCAAATTGTTAAAACTACTTTCTTACAGAAAATCCTAAGGTTAAGAGCTCAGTACATTTTTAAAAGCCTACTATTTCATTCTACTGAGAAGCTAAATAACACGGTCCTTTAGGTCTAGATGTACCATCTAGTTTAGTCAAGGCAGTTATGTTAACGAAAATACAATTGATTCCGGGATTGATAAATTAGGGATAGGGTAGAAAAGATCTTGAAATAAAAGTCTGGAGATAAGTCCTTGGAAAAAGGATTTTTTCCCCTTGAATTTTGAATTTTATTTTTTGGGTTTTGGGAAGTAAGATGGGGAAGTTATTCTAAACATGAAACCTGGTAACAGAATATGCATGCGGACACAAGGTTGGGAAAAAACATCAGCACCAGTGGTGATGAATAGCCATCCTGACCAAAATGAGAACCCAAGTTAGTGATGAAATCATTAACTTCTCTGGAGCAAGGACCACATATTTGACTGACTTTGTACTTCCCTTTCTTTATTCTCAAGTCACTTTTCTCCTTAGTAATTGCTAGAGGAAATGGTTGAAAATTTGATTTTTTGATGTCAAAATTTATGCCCACCTTTTAAAATTTTTGGAAGGACAACTGTTGAATACCTGTGTACAGTCTGTGTCCAGTCTAGACTAGTGGGTGGGTGGAGTTCTAGTCTGTGACCGCCGCTGTGGCTTTTCTCCCCTTGTTTTTCATCGAAAATGCCCAAGTAATTACATTCTTTGACTAAACTCCAATAAAGCTTGAAAGGAAGAGAAATCTAAAATCTGCTTAAAAAGAGAAAAAGGACTCATGGACATGAACAACAGGGTGGTGATCACTGGGGGGAGGGGGGTATAAGGGGACTAAATGGTAATGGGGAAAACGGTAAAGAGTATATATTTTAAAAGTAAAATCTGCTTAGAGGGAAACAGTAGCTTCCTTATTTTAAAGTAGCCTTTAGTGAAATTCAAGACAAGATCTCTGCCCTCATGGAACTTACAGTATAGTGGGGGAAACAATAAGTAAACAAGATAATTACAGATTAAAAAAATTATTAGAAGTTAATAAGCTGGCAGATCTATCTAAAAGTGTTATGGGGACTGACTGGCTAGTAAAAGTCAAGGAGCATCTCTGAAGTGGTGACATTTGAGTTGGGACTTGAAACATGAGCTTGTGTTAGCTGTGTGCAAAGCTGGGGAGAAGAACCTAGCTTGGGGACAAGTGCAAAGACCAGAAGAGCTGAGAAGGTCATGGGTGTTAGAAGCAGGAGGAGAACAAACTGAGATGGAGTTGGAGAGATCTTACAGGACCTCTTGTATTAGGCAGTACCCGGTATGGGGATTTTATTTCAATGAGAATGAGAAGCTTTTGAAGGGCTTTAATTAGTGCAGTGATATGTTTTTGTTTTGTTTTTAAAAGATCATAGGCTGTTTCGTGAAGAGAGGAAGCAGAGAGGGCAGTTATGAGACTTGGAATAGTCAGCTCAAGATTGATAGTATCATAGGTGAGTACAGAGGCAGTGCAGGTGGAGCAGAGTAGGTGGTGGGTTTCAGATGTATTTTGGAGGTGGAATGAGAAGTATTTGCTTAATGGGTTGGCTGTGGAAGGAGAAAGGATTCAAGGATGGCTTCAAGATTCTGGCCTAAGCCTTGGGGGCTGATGGTGCCTTTTGCTAGTTGCAGAAGATGGGAGGAGCAAGTGGGGAGGGGTGGGTAAC